GATACGCCCAGAGTCACGGAACGGATTAAGTTCGTATCCCGAGGTATCACTGTACCTCACATTAGATGCTATAATTCTTAATACAGGTAGTCCTTGCTTAAGGACCACAATAGGACCGGAAAATTGGTCGTTAGGCGGGGCGGACATTAATCAAATTACCACTTGACTGAACCTGATTTTATGACCATTTTTACAATGGTCGTTAAGTGAACCATGTGGTCGTTAAGCGAATCCAGCTTCCCCAATGGACTTTTTTGCCAGAATTCACTTAACAACCATGTGATTTGCTTAATGACTGGTGATTCGCTTAATAACTGTTGTAAAAAAGGTTGCAAATCACAATCACATGACCTCGGAGGGTGGTGCAACAGTTTGCAACCGTCGTAAATGTGAGTACAGGTCATAAAGCACTTTTTCCGAGGCTGTCATAACTTTGAACCATTGTTAAAAGAACAGTCGTTAAGCAAGGACTACCTGTAACATAAATTATCCAATTCATATATAGGACAAAATGCCAACTCAAATTTCTGGCTCATTTAATCCAGAAATGTTGGTAGATGCTTTTAGAATATTTATGTTAATCTCAATCCTGCATATCAATCAAAATGGCTAAATGTTATAAAATGTTCTGTTGCATGGAATTCCTGACACAAAAATACATTCAGTAGAAAAAAATCACTTTGCATAATCCTCATTCTGAATTTACCAGATATACTTAAAATGTTATAATATTTTTAGAATATTCATGCAAAGCACTGTAGTTAATTTAGAAAAGCATTCCTATTAAATCTGAGTCTTCATTCAGTACAACGTACCTGGACAGCCCTGAGTTGAATGTAGTCAAATATAAACCATGCCAAACAATGACACATAAAAAACACCATTATATCCCATCTGAACACGTGATGAACTGCCCATCCAATAATCAAACTTGCAACAAAGCATTCTGAGATTGGCTCACAGATCGTAGCTGGAAGCATGTTGATCCGTAGTTTAGCCCACCTATATTTAAGAGATGAAAAAACATTAATTTAAACAAGAGAAAACTTGTTCTTACAACAGCAATATGTATTTCTGTATTTAGAAACTGAAAATGAAAGTTAATCAAGTTTCAGTGCATTACATGTTTTCATCAGAAACAGAGAAATTATTTAAAGCTTACAGGCTTTCTGAGGTAAATTACTAGCTATGTTTCTTTACTGGGTAGGTAAGACATGTGATAACCTTAAATATCTGAAATGCTTTCAAACAACATTTCTTTCATAATTAGCCTATCAAAGCAATTGATCCCACCTCTCTCCCAAAGACTAACAGAGTGAGCTACACTTAGGGCATCTCTGGTTAGGGGTGATATACATGAAAACCAATGGCTGTTATAATTTGCTTGCATATTAGATTTATTACTGCCCTGTATATTGAAGCAAGATTTTAAAAGACCTGCCAATCTGGGGGAAATCTGATATAAAATGGATTTTTTTTAGCTGATATCTTTTGCTTATCAAAGATAAGCCTGCAATTTTATCCATTCTTGTTTAGGAGTGGACACCACTTAATACTTAATACTATAGATCTTGGTACTGTACTACAAGAACTGGAGTTAGAGTAATGCTGGATTAAAAAAGCAAATGAGATTAGAATCCCTTAAAGGGTAACATTTTCAGGCTGACAATTGGTTAACTCATTTTATTTTATGGAGTACACTGTACTGAGGGCCTGATTTTCAACAGGTGCCAGCTTTTGTTGTTGTTGTTGTTGTTAAATAAAATATATGACTAGATAAAAGTGCCAACTTAGAATAGAGAGTCATGGCTTTGACGTAATTGGGTTTCTCCCCTCAATATTTTCATTTACAGGTTCCTATAAGACCAACATCATTCAACATAACCTAGTCTATGTATACAGCTTGCAATATAGTAGGTTTTTGTCTTCTGAGTGGGTATTTTGTATCTTATTTCCAGCATAATTTTATGTCTGCCTCAATGAATCTCAAGATTTCAGTAAAAAAGAAAAGAAAAGAATAGGCCTTCAAGCCTAAACTCTGGCATACAACTGGCCATTATGTTAACAGTACATATAAAAACCAGATTGATCTGATATTATTTAAAGGCCAAACTTACAATGGGAAGCAAATAAAGAATATATTAGAAACAAAACAGGGGTTAAAAAAGGATCATTGAAATATATCTAAATTGGAAAAGTGTGGTTTTCCCAATTTGAAATGCTACTATTGTCATCATAAACTTGTGATTCATTCTTTCTTAATAACAGGCATCCACTTTAAAAAAGTTCTTTGGTATGTTCTTCTGTTGGATTGCATGAAAGAGCCCTATAATCATATGTGGGAGAGGGCTATTTTGGTGAATAGCCAAAGAAGCTGGATTTATAATCCTATAATTTACTAATAAATAATGGTTATTTACATTTTCTGGAAGGACTTGTGGAAAAAGGAATATTCTTGATTCTCAGAGCCTGGAGACATCAGCATGTTGGAATCAGCAAGAATGACAGAAATGGAGAATACTTTTCTGAAGTTGTCATTTTGGGTGATAATGATTGCTTCATAAACAGAGTATCTGTAAATTCATTTGTATTCTACTTCCTCAGAAATAAAAACTATTTCATAAGTCTGAACATTTTAGAACTTTTTGAATATGTCAGGTCTCAGAATTTCCCATAGTATTTTTTGAAAGTTCAGTTCCTGCCCCAAAACAACTACACAGTCACTGAGAAACTTAGATATACATTTCCAGCACTATACAACAAGTAACAACACTGTAAGCCCTTCTTCACCTCTAAGCCAAAGCTGTGAGGGTGATCTGAGATTCGAGATTTCAGAGAGAAGGTTAAGCAAGTCTTGAAACATTAATGTGAAAACTGTTAACGTGGGTGGAATAGGAGAATATTAGAATTTCCTCTCATGAAGAAATGACATCTTTTCTATTCTAAAACTCTGAGTTTAGATACTAATTACAAAATCAAACAAAATAGGGAATAGTTCAGAAAATCTGAAATATTTATTTATTCATGGCTGCCACATTTTTAATCATACAATACTAAAAAAAAAACTCAGATTAAATCTGTCAAAAATCCATACTGTTGATTAAAAAAGAAAAATTAGAATAAAATAGGAGTACATATATTAGTAGTTTTGAGTAGAACTTCTATGACCTAAAACATACACAAATAGAATACGTCAATAAATGAGATAATTAAAAGTTAGATTTTTTTACCTTATCATTCTGGACTGAAACTGTGAAATTGAATAAGAGCCAGAGTTTTGCATTGCAACTTGTGTAGCCATTGCAAATTTCCAACCTCTGCAAAGAAAGAATATAACCAAGGTAAATAATAGATAGTTTTCATGTTGAAGGATGTTGGTTAGCCATTTTTTTCTTTACACATTTGAAGGGTAAACACAAATTGAACTTGCTTTTTAAATACTTCTTAAATACTGCCACAGTGCTCTAGAGTTTAACTTATTCCCCTAAAAGCCAAGCTATAGAAATTAACTAGAATGTGTGAAAGCATATCTTACATTTCTAATCCCCCCATACAAATTGGACAGGGCAGCTCTAACTAAAAAGAACTACAGGCACACTTTAAATATTCCTTAAACACATATATCTAGAATAGTATGTCAAGAAAAAAGCTTGGATTTAGAAAGAACTTCTGTTTAACATGTACCTTTTTAATATTTCATATAGTTTATATGGGTAGGCAAGTAAGCTGCATCTCCAAGTCTGAAGTGACAGTTCCTCTTGAGCTGTATAATTCTAAAACTATATAGCTTGACACTTAATTACATTTCTAAACGTTATGACTGAAATTTCAACTTTCTCCTTACAATGTGATTAACTCCAGATCATTCAGCTTTAAAATACAAATGTAATCAATTCATGGTGCTGGTTGTCACCTTTAAAGTCCTACATGGCAGGGAGCCAGATTACCTGCAAGACCACCTATCCCTGCTAGTTTCCGCCCATCCTACGTGACCTAGCAGGTAAGTATGTTCCAGGGGCCACAATGTTGCTTATTGTTTGATGTTTAAAATAGTCTTTTTATTGCATTGTGTTTTTATATTATTTGCCACCAGGAGTTTCTTCTGGTAGATGGGTAGCTATATAAATATGTTTAATAAATAAAATAAATAAATGAATGTAATCACAATATATAGAAACTGTGTGATAAAGCACAGAACCAGTATCATGACTGCTTATTTCTTCTAATCATCCTATCTACTAGAAAAACCTGAATAAAGTTTCAGGTCTCTTTAAAAAGAGAGAAAGAGAGAGGGAGGGAGGGAAATTCCTCTCAGATATAGGATAGTTTAACCAGATGCTGTAAATGATTATGTGAAAATAATGTAACTCTATACAAAAAATGTTTGGCCTTAATGCCAGAAAAAAAGGAACTTCCTATTTGCAACTTCATTTTGATAAAAAAAAAATTTTTTTAATACAATTGGAGAAAAAAACAACTTAATTGGTAGCACTGCTCCCCTATGGGAAGAAACAGTGTATCTTTTGAAGGTTATAACAATAATTCACAAATGAGTTCTGAGCTGGGAGGAGAATGTCAGGATAACTCACCAACATCCCTCACTGTAAAATTTTTGAATAGTTTACTTGCACTTCACTCACACACATACTGCCAAGTAAGAGGCCAAAGTTAAATATCAAAACAATAGTTTTCACAGTAATTTTTTTAGTTTAATACATTTATTTTTAATTGCATGCTGTTACACTTTTTCTAATTTATTTACTCAAGACTTTTGTCTTAGTGTATGAAAAAACTTCAGTGTTGCAGCCTTCAGACTAAAGAATGGGCGCTCAGGGGGCACCTATAACAATTTGAGTTTGAAACTCTTGGTTTACAGATTAGTTTACTGATTTAGCAGCATGGTCACTGGGTAAGTGATAATTTTTACTCCCTTTAAAACCATAACAATATGCTCCAGAATGCTGCTGTAGAAACAAGTAAGCAAAAACAGAACAGATTATGATAAACACTATAAGGTGAACTTTCCCTGGAGAACATTATCATACCTGTCAGCTATTGCTTTAGCCATAAAGTAATCTTCAGCAATGTACTGTGCAAAAGCTATAAGTCCTCCAGCTTGGTCCAAAACATCTTTTCTCATCAAGCAAGACATCCCTGTTACACATTTGAAGCCAGTTACATGGGCAGAAATGTACGTCCTTGGATGAGAAGTACCAAAATATACCTTTAAAAAAAAAGCATGGTTAAGTAATCGTCCTATATAAGCATGTAATAAATGTTTGAGCTTCCTTGGATTTCTCCAGCCATTTGTTACAACTTGCTCATCTTGTACAGAAAAGAAAAACGTTGCCATTATGCAGGCCTCCCTATTATTTAATGCATATTTTACTCTCCACATAAAGATTGCCATTGTGTTTCTGCATTGATCTGAATTGTAGATTCTTTTCAACAAACTATAAAACTAAAGTTCTCAGGATTACTTTGTTACTACTTCTTTTAGTGAATGAACATTAATGGCAAATAATTATTCATGTATCTACTTCACATGAACTGATCTACATTGCCACTTTTCAGTTTTACTGTTCATCTAGAAAAGTTTTTTCTTGGTATTAGTTAAAAGACTGATAAATAAATATGATAGAAATTCTGCGGTACAGCAACAGAGGGGCAAAAACAAGAGGAGAGGGAAGACAGGGAAGCAATAAAGTATAGAGTATTACAAACATTTTGCTCCAGTACAATTTTTTCAAATCCAGTAACAATAAACTGAAATACTCCTTTGTATTATACATGATGCTTCTACCTGAATTAGCACCAAACATATTCAGTGGCAATAAGCATCATTCAATTCAGTATTAAGATGTAATGTTAACAAAGCAAAAAGACTGAAATTTCAAATCAGGAAAGCATTATCTGCCTAGCAACTGACTACATTCCTTTATTGTCATCATGCCACTGCCTATCAATTAAGGCTGCTATATTTGCCACACAGGAAATTCTGAATTCATGCCTTTCTTTATAAATATGTCAGTTCATCCAAATAAAAATATGCTATCTCTGTGGTACTAGCAATAAATTAAAATTCAAAGACTCCAAATATGTTATTAAATGCTGCAGCAATGACCTCCTACAAAAATATAGACTACAAAGAATGAATCAACAGGAATAGAGGAAGGGAATACAAATAAGCTTTTTCACTCAAAGCTATTAGGAAGCTCTGCATGTAAGATGTAACACGTAAAAGTAATAAATTAAACTTTCTGCATAATAAATTGTCAGCAAAGTACAGATAATTAAATACCACTATTCTTCACAATATCAAGCTATCTAGACTTATGCTTTAGAGCTACTATATGAAGGAAAGACCTGAAACCAATTTTATTACAGTAGCGTATTTCTTGTAATAAAATGTTTACATTTCTCTTGGTTCTGTTATTCTCTTCTTTTTTCAGCTTTAAACTATTATAATTTACAGGAATTTAAGCCTATAAAACTGGAGCAGGAGCATAAATGGAGACTCACCTGTTCTAGAGTGGCAGCAAAGCCTTGTCTGTCTGCTACATAAGGCAGGCCATGAACCAAGCCAACTTTTTCAGTCATTTGATTGGCCATATCTGTTAGCGTATCTGGGTTAACTGAAGATAAGAACTGTGATTAATGGCTTAATGTTTTAAAAAGTTACACACTTACAGTTACTACCTTACAGTATCTAACCAAAAAAACAATGCAACTTCCTGGTTCTGGCTGCTCTGCTGAACATTACAAAAGTGAGGGAGATTAATTTTTTGTTGCATAGTCCTGATGTGACTTTTGATAATTTAGTAATTATAGGGGTGATCGGAGTCTGGAGAATAAATACCATCCACCTGAGGTAGTTGCTATCCTACAAATAGCAAGTAGAAGCATTGAAAGGAAAAAAATACTATTGTAGGAGTCCCTACTGACTTGCCTGCAAGACAGCTTACTTAGAATCTTAGGCATCCTGTTCCAGCTGGTTCTATTTTTAAAAAATAAATAGATACATAAATAGGAAGCTGGCATATATTATTAATATATTCATGTCCCGCCTTTACTCTGTGTCATTCAAGGTGGTGTACATAATGCTCCTGCCTCCTATTTTCCACCTTGTGAGATGGACTGGGCTGAGAGAGAGAGAGACTGGCCCAAAGCCATCCAGCTGTCTTTCATGCCTAAAGAAGGATTAGAACTTACAGTCTCCCAGTTTCTAGTCCAGCATCTTGACCCCTACACCAAACTCGCTCTAGCTTTATTTTTATTGTCTAAGAATGCCTGTGAGACCAGGGGCTTTTTTAGAAATAAAGATGAAGCTACACAGGTAGTTATAGTGCAATGCCTCGCTTGGAAACTTGCCAACCTTTCTAGGAAAAAAAAAGTCAAAAATAAATAATATTGTAGAGATCAATTGGGGGACTAGAAAGGATAGCAAGAAGCATTCTCAACAGTTTATCTCCTGAATTTTTCTGATTACAATGGATACAATGATAGTTTTATGCATACAATGGATGAATACAATGGATATTTTGGAACAGCAATTTCCACTAGTTATTTTGAAAACAGGCATGCTTCTCCTCCATGGCAGCCTTTTGGGGAGTGCCTTAAAGGCTCCAAAAATTCCATATAACAATTTGACAGAATTTGCTCACATATATTCCATGTTACCTTTGATTCCTACACATTGTGCCTATGAAAATTACTATATCTCTATTTCCACAAAATTTATAATCTCTTTTTGGCAGGGTTTATCAAGTGAATGACATCATCAATACTTTAATATTATAATGTTAATTATTTCAATAGCTTGCAGTCAGGACCCTTCCCAAAAGTATATTCTATGGAACTGACTGAACTCACTTACCTCTAATGCCACTATCACAGATCCATATGAGGTCATATTTGGCAACTTCATACGCTGGCATCAAATTGTTGATCTTTGGATTTATTCCAACTTTTTTACCACCTTAAAAACAACATCTAAGTTGTTAGTCATTGGATCATACCATCATCAAAAAATAAGCGTGGCACAAATTCTGTATCTCTGAATTTATCCATCCATCCATCCATCCATCCATCCATCCATCCATCCATCCATCCACATACCATGCAGAGTCGCTTGCAAAAGTTAAGGTACCTCTGGTCAAATTGTATGTTTCATTGTATCCATAATTGAACAGAAGCTAACACAGTCTCTGCAATCATCCAAAGTTAAACATGGTACCTTTCTGTAGATTTGACTGTATACTTTCTATTTATGTGCAGTTGTTTATAGATTCAAAATATGAAAATAGTGAATATGGCAGATGCAGAAGTTTGGACATCTTTTCAGTGAGTACTTTGTAACATCTCATTTTGCAGAAATAACAGCTTCCAAATGCTTACAGTAGACAGCTAAGATTTATTCCAACTTTTTTACCACCTTAAAAACAATATCTAAGTTGTTAGTCATTGGATCATACCACCATCAAGAAATAAGTGTTGCACAAACTCTGTATCTCTGAATTTATCCTGTTGTTGCTTTTGGATTTTTTTTCACACTCTTCTAGCTCTCTTTGCATGCATTTCGTGTTTAAGATCTCTTCACAGATTTTCAATAATACTCGAAATTGGAGGCTTCAACTGTCTTTCCTGTAAGTACATCATGGAGATATGGTTTGGACTGTTATTTTCTGAAATAGCCAATCTTTTTCAGCTTCAGTTTCTTCACTGACTGTGGGACCCTGGCTTCTAGGATTTCTTCATATTCAGTTGAACCCACTTTTCCTTCCACCTGCACAGTATTTCCTGTGCCAGTGGCTACCACATAATCACAAAGCATAATAGAGTCACCTCTGTGCTTAACAGTTTTTTCTCTTATTCAAATGCTTTATTTTTTCTCCAAATGTATCTTGTCTGGTTGTGGCTGAACAATTCAAGTTTTGTTTCATCAGTCTAAAGCGCTTTGTTCCAAAACGTTTCAGGTTTATCAAGGTTTTCTTTTGCATACTTTACACAGTGATTGTTATAATGAGGTTTCCTCTGCCAAGTCTCCCATGCAGATCACTGTTGTATAAGCAATGCTGTACTGTGGGCATGTGGACAACTACTTCACTGTCAGCTAAATTTGTCAGCAAGTCATTTATAGTGGTCTGTGGGTTCTGTTTTGCAACCCTGTCTGGTTTTCATTTCTAGCATCGATGTTTCTTAGTCTTTCAGATCTTGTCTTGACCTCAACAGTTCCATGTAACTTCCATTTCTTAACTTTTCTCACAGCTGAAAATGCTAGACCTTTTTACAGCCTTCCCCTGCTTTGTTTTTAGCTTCATTTTCAAATGCTGAGACAGCTGCTTAGAGGAGGTCTATGATTTTTGAAAGTAGAGAGAACAATCACAACTTGAGAAGTTAGAACAGAGTATTTATCTGTAGAATTGTTTTCACTTACCTAACTGTAGACCTAATGAGTCAATAATCTTTTGAGACCTTATTAACAACTTTACAGTAAAAACAAAATAGCACTGAGTCAACTGAAATGGTGTCCACCTTTTATACATGCTATATTCATTGTTAACTACACATAAATAGTAAGTATGCATTCAGATTTAAAGACAGAAATGTATTTAACTATACTATATAGAGGTAGTGTCAGATTCTGTTCATTTAAAATTCACTGAAACATACAATTTGACCAGGGGTGCCTAAATTTTGTCTGCAACTACCCCCCCATCTATCTATCCACACACAAACACACACACACCACACACATATATATACACTACGTTATAAATAAAGTTGAGGTAAAAATTTTTGCATGTGGTCTTAGGCTCTCCACTCATTAACTTTATCTAGAATTCTTGCCCATAATCAGAATAAAGATGTTCTGCTTTAAATATAATATATATATACATATATATATATATATACATACACACACACACACACACAGTATAGGTTTAAT